ATGTTGATCAGTGTTTTCAAGGAAAATGAGACCATTGACATCCTGCCCGCTTGGATATGAAAGCAGGCGCTGTTTTTGGATAATTGCTGCAATTCGATCTTTATTACAGAAGCTTGAGTGGATTTCTGTCAATGTAGAAGCATTATGCTGCTGACAAAAGGCCTCTAGCTGTGGATTTCGCAGGAATTGTGCTGAATGACTGTTTAGCAAATGGTTAAGAGGCACTTATGAAGTACTTACCAGTGGTTAAACTTGGATCACGGATCTGCTGTATGATCCTTTTCACTCCCTGTAAGATCCGCTCTGGTGCTTTGGTTGGGGGTGGTGGTGGGTGTTTATGCACACCATGTGATGTGAATAATATATATGGGCATTGGCCTATATCAACTGGGACTAGAGCATTGAAGATAACATCACAAGGTGTATGTTGCAATCGACCTGATCCTTGAGGATGATCCCGGCCTTTGAAGCAGTTAGTGACCAGTTGCCAAGTGGCTGATAAGTACCTACCACAGTATTTTCGTCGGGATGACAATGATTCAAAAACACCACACTCTTCAGTCGCTGGTATAATCTCTTTATTAAAGAGATCTTCAAGAAACTGCAAGTTAATCACTGTATGGCCTTGAATTGCTCCTCTATGATGTTTTGTCAAGACACCATACGATTCATTTATACAGCCAATATAAGGATCATATTCGCCATGAACATTCTGAAATAGTTAGAAACCGCCTGATAAACACCTATGAGATATTTCAAACCAACCATTTGGCTGTATCTCTTGAAAACTGGTTTACAAGAAGGGTGTTGGTCAATACAGGCAAGGCCTTTCTCAAAGAAAGCAACTTTGGATCGATAGTAGCTAAAAGCAGTTAGTAACCAGTCTGTAGCCAGTTAAGAAGCAGTTGGGTACCTGTATGCATTCCGTCTGCCAAGGTCAGACTCTAAGAGCTGAATATCCTTTTGAGACTTTTGGATTTCTTGCCAAATAACATCATCAACAAAGGTATGATGACGGGATTGAAGGAATGAGTTCAGAAATTCACATGCATAGATTCCAGAGCATTTCCAGGTCCATTTTTTGACATGGCATCTAAAAAAAGGGCAATAGACTGGTCGTTTCTGTCCATATTGCAGTCGTTTTGCATATTGGATCTAATGTATACTTAGCAATTGGTCATAAAATACATTATGGTCACTCACGTCATGTGCAAGTTGCTCCATTTCAAGCTGTGATCGCCCTCTTGATGCAACAACATATGAATATCCATCAATATGACTTGTTGGATACTCTGGTAGGTCATCATTATACTCAATTTTGAGCGTTGTAAGGCCAGGTCCTTTAGCACTAGTAAGTGGAATTGGTATAGCTGGTTTCAGTTCCTGTATCAAGTAGTTAGTAAGCAGTTAAATACCACTTAGCTAATTATGGAGTTGTTTCTCACCTCAATATCCGCTTCAGCATCGAGATCCAGTCCAGAAAGCTCATTCATGTCAATGGTAGAATTATTAACGTCCATCTTGATGTAAAATTGGTAATATGATGAAATTGATATTAACCCACTTGTGAATTGCTTAAATCGTTCGGAATATTATGAGCAGTGAGAGGTAATCATGGAAAATGAATTACAGGTGTATCTGTATGATATTTTAAAGGTCATGCGAGCCGTCCTTGCTTAATAATGATATTGGCAGTCACGTGCTACTGGTTCATCTCACATGAGCTTATTTGAAAGCTCGCGTGGGCTGCGTACACCCGTGTTGATGGTGTTTGCTGATAAAGGTGCTGAGTCAAGCCGTTACAATTACCAGTTACAAGACTAAGAGACAGCAGCCAACCGCCTTCATTTGTCTGTTATCTTGAAAATATTATCAGACTGTGCCTGTCGCATAAGCGATATGGTTAGTAAGGGGGATGATCGGTGGATTTCCAATAGGATATTGAAACGGATAAACCAACAAGGCGGCTAACTCCGAGTTGGGGAAGTCGGGGAGTCGATTATCCGGACTGCACGAGGCTATTTATGAAGAGGAAATTTAGATTACACGGAGGGTGACATTGATATCTATAGACACCATAGGTGGTAGAATGAGTGCTTGGCTATCTAAACGAGTGTGTGTGTCCGTATATGAGGGATCTGTCGGCCTCGGTAATCGGACCAGCTATTGATCCACCTCGACTTTCATCAGATATCTACCCTGCACGGCGTACACATGTATATAAAGCTACCCAATCCGACATCCGTTCTTTCGTTCCTCAATGAAACCTCTTGTATTGCTACTCTGATGGCTCCTGTGCCCTTTTCTCTTTACCGATGTGGCCATAGTATTCAACGGATGAGCAAGCAGGTTCAGAACAAGAATTAATGGATTGGGGACCATGGTGCAAGTTGATCAACGGTAGAGCAGAAGGGACATCTATCCCATCAGGAAATCCACGATAATTGCTTTAAAATTTATAAAACGTATTCTCAATATGAATAGGCAGAAATCCTAGACCACGATTGGAATTTCCAACCCTGGCCAACGCATCCGTCTCAATCGTGGCATATCATTCTCTTCATTCAAGAAGTATGAAACCGGGTTTCATGTTTTATGCGTCCTTGGTCTCAATACATGCTTGTTCATTCAGAGCTTCGAGAACGGTAATTTCTAGAGACAGCCATTTAGCAGGTTCCCAGGGGATAAGAGATTTTAAATAACATACTGCAAGCATCACCACTATCAAGATAGTTCATAATAGTAACACCCGTATCATCTTCAGGTATAGCAATATCAGTTTTGGTATTGCCATCAATATCTCTCAACACAAGATATCCATCATGAGATCCGTCCTAGGAAATCTATCAGTATACATAACTGTTGTATGGGCCTTATCAAAGGATGAAGACAAACCAGCTTATATTCATTTCTCCGAACAATTGGGACATCGACAGTTTGGCTCTGAATAAAAATATCTTCAAATTTTTTGCCTGTGAAGATATTAACCCCATTAATATGAGTTTTAGATTGTCCGTGCTTGCCAGTCCTCGAGGAGGACATATCGACAATTTTGCACGGATTGCCCTTGATTACAACGTGACCATTTTTCCTTAGATCGGAAGACAATTTTGTGAGTCAAAGCCTTGGCATCACCAAAATTGAAGCTCTGTATTTTTCTTTATTTTATTTTATTTTTTTTATTAATGGAGTGGCTTTAAGTGCTTGATAGAAGTGTACGTACTCCGTCATCAAACATTCTGGTATTTCGGTGTTGAAAGGGTAAAAGATAATGGGGCACAAATATTTGAGGGTCAGCCGTGGGAAGAGAGAGGAAGTATGATTATGGAGCTGAAACAAAAGTTTAGAAATTGGAAATGCAGGATAGTTAACTATTGTGATAGTTACATATACGTAGAATCCCACCCATACATAAATAGTGGAGCTACTCAGCTAATTACACCACGTCCATGAGATCCGATTCATTGAGCCGCACCGTGAACCCTCAGCGCTGGCTAGCTCTCAACAGAGAAGTCTCATACCTCCACTTAGGCTGCGGCAAATCCGCATCCGCAATAGCATAATTCTCGCTAGTTTACCTCAATGCAAGATCAGATTAAGCGAGCACGAGTGAAAGTAGATGGCCACTGCGTGCCCTCCAATCTGGAGGCAACACGATGGCTTGGTGTCTGGCTTGATTCTGGGCTGAATCTCAAAGCCCACTATCAGACCTGTATGCGCAAGGCACGGGCTGCAGAAAACAGAGTACAACGCCTATGCCAGAGTCACGGACTCGCCCCAGGGTTAGCTCGCCAGGCCCAAGCGGCAGCAGTGCAACCAGTAGCTCTATATGGAGCAGATCTCTGGTGGCAGGGCCAGAAGGATCGGCTAGCGGGCATACAGCTGATGATAAATCGACAGGCCCGTGCTATCACTGGGATGTTAATATCAACTCCTGTAGGGCCACTAGTTCGTGAAGCAGGCCTAACACCAGCAGAGGCCCTATTAGAGGTCCAAAAATTGAGATATACTACCCGACTACTCAGCTTACCAGAAAACCACCCAGCTAAGAAGATCCTCCCAGTGAGCTTCCGAGAAGGGGAGCAACACGCCCAGCCCAGGGAGCAGACCGCAGGGAACCAGAGATGAGCTGACAGCAGCAACCCGGGCCCATGGTCCCTGTGGCAACATCTAGCTCGACGACTAGCCAATATCCTACCAGGGGACCCAACCGAGGGCTTTGAAAGCACGATACAGACAACCAGTAGTCAGTTCCCAGGTAAAATAGAGGTACTACCAGGTCCAGAGGCCCTAGCAGCAGCGCAATCTCTCTCTCCTGGACCAGCAATCTGGTCAGATGGATCAAGATTGGAGAATGGCAGGCGCGGAGCAGGACTCGCATGGCAAGAGCCAGGAGGAACATGGAAGACCCAGGGATTCCCATCGGGCAAAGGATATGAGGTCTTTGATGCAGAGCTTTTTGGAGGGAAACCAGGTTATGCGGTTATACTAATGGGAATGTGTTGGCCAAAGTCAGCCTTGCCTGCCCTATGAGCTACATGTCATCTGGTTGGGTGGTGACCACTAGCGAGGCAGCAAGTCCTGGACTGTATGTTTCCACCGAGCGAGCGATTGAAGGTAATAAGCTTTCCATTATACGTAAATTTTTTTTCCCCCTTATGCTTACATTATCACAGGTGAGTGTTAACTATCTGTTATGGACCTCGGCCGATCTAGCTTGATAGCGGCTCAGCCAGATGTGATTGGCTTATCTTGCAGTGCATAACTGCATAACTGCACAGCATAAATCCGTACCATGGTAGACCGCCAACCCGGCAGAGCGTATCCTCAGGTTACAGGTCGGGTGGCATCGTTCTAGAGGTGCGGTGCCGCGCTAGTAAGTCACATGACTCATTTAGCGGCTTCCGGCACTTACAATACCATGTTTTGAGGTCGTAGGTCGGAGGGCCCCGCTTTAGCGCTCGGAGGGCCCCGGAGCCCCCTTACCGAGTCCCGCTAAATCACATGACCCACTAACATTAGC